TTAACCACTTGCCTACTGGGCACTTATACCCCCTCCCTGCCCAATCCAATTTTCAGCTTTCAGCGCTGTCACACTTTGAATGACAATTACGATGTCATGCAACATTGTACTCATATGAAATTTATATCCTTTTTCACACAAACACAGCTTTGTTTTGGTGCTATTAATTGCCACTGGGTTTTTTATTTTTTGCACTATAAACAGAAAAAGAGCAAAACATTTAAAAAAAAAAGTTTTTCTTTCTTTCTATTATAAAATTTAGCAAGAGGTAATTTTTCTCCTTCTCTAATGTGCGGTAATGAGGCTGCACTGATGGGCATTGATAGGCAGCACTGATGGGAACTCATAAGGTGGCAGGGATAGGCAGCACTGATGGGCACTGATAGGCTGCACTGATGAGGCGGCACTGGTGGGCATTGATGAGAAAGCACTGATGCTGCTGCACCGATATGCAGCAATGATGGTCACTGATAGATGGCACTGACGGATGGCATTGACTGACGGCACTGACTGACAGCACTGACTGATGGCACTGATTGACGGCACTGATGGGCACAACTGCTGGGCAGCACTCATGGGTGTCACTGCTGGGGGGCAATGATGGGGGGCACTGCTGGGCACTGGTGGGAGGCACTTCTGGGCACTGGTGGGTGGCACTGTTGGGTGGCACTGCAGGGCACTGATCATCAATACCCTGATGATCAGTGCTGATCTGCTCTGTGACAGCTGCTGGTTATTGCAGTAGTTTCCTTACGCTGTAACAGCGTGGGGAAAGTGCTGCCGATAACCGGCAAGTGTATTTATTCCGTGATCTGGACACAGCTGATCACGTGGTAAAAGGCCACTGTGATTGGCCTTTTACCCCATCACATGATCAGCTGTGTCCATAGGACACAGTGATGACCGGCAGCGCTAGGTGAGCGCTGCTGGGGGCGCGCAGGGGGTGTGTTCTGTTCTGGGAGGACATCCATGGATGTCCTCCCAAAACTAGACAACCGCGCTGTAGCCATTCTTCAGCTACAGTGGGGATCGAAAGTTTGGGCACCCCAGCTAAAAATTTGTATTAATGTGCATAAAGAAGCCAAGGAAAAATGGAAAAATCTCCAAAAGGCATCAAATTACAGATTAGACATTCTTATAATATGTCAACAAAAGTTAGATTTTTATTTCCATCATTTACACTTTCAAAATAACAGAAAACAAAAAAAATTGGCATCTGCAAAAGTTTGGGCACCCTTCAGAATTTATAGCATGCACTGCCCCCTTTGCAAAGCTGAGACCTGCCAGTGTCATGGATTGTTCTCAATCATCATCTGGGAAGACCAGGTGATGTCAATCTCAAAGGTTTTAAATGCCCAGACTCATCTGACCTTGCCCCAACAATCAGCACCATGGGTTCTTCTAAGCAGTTGTCTAGAAAACTGAAACTGAAAATAGTTGACGCTCACAAAGCTGGAGAAGGCTATAAGAAGATAGCAAAGCGTTTTCAGATGTCAATATCCTCTGTTTGGAATGTAATTAAGAAATGGCAGTCATCAGGAACAGTGGAAGTTAAAGCAAGATCTGGAAGACCAAGAAAAATATCAGACAGAACAGCTCGCAGGATTGTGAGAAAAACAATTCAAAACCCACGTTTGACTGCACGATCCCTCCAGAAAGATCTGGCAGACGCTGGAGTTGTGGTACACTATTCCACTATAAAGAGATACTTGTACAAATATGGTCTTCATGGAAGAGTCATCAGAAGAAAACCTTTTCTACGTCCTCACCACAAAAATCATCGTTTGAACTTTGCAAATGAACATATAGACAATCCTGATGCATTTTGGAAACAAGTTCTGTGGACCGATGAGGTTAAAATTGAACTTTTTGGCCGGAATGAGCAAAGGTACGTTTGGAGAAGAAGGGGCACAGAATTTAATGAAAAGAACCTCGTCCAACTGTTAAGCATGGGGTTGGATCAATCATGCTTTGGGGTTGTGTTGCAGCCAGTGGCACAGGGAACATCTCACGAGTAGAAGGAAAAATGGATTCAATAAAATTTCAGCAAATTTTGGATGGTAACTTGATGCCATCTGTGAAAAAGCTGAAGTTAAAGAGAGGATGGCTTCTACAAATGGATAATGATCCTAAACACACCTCAAAATCCACGGGGGATTACATCAAGAGGTGTAAACTGAAGGTTTTGCCATGGCCTTCACAATCTCCTGACCTCAACATAATTGAAAATCTATGGATAGACCTTAAAAGAGCAGTGCGTGACAGACAGCCCAGAAATCTCAAAGAACTGGAAGACTTTTGTAAGGAAGAATGGGCAAAGATACCTCAAACAAGAATTGAAAGACTCTTGGCTGGCTACAAAAAGTGTTTACAAGCTGTGATACTTGCCAAAGGGGGCAGTACAAGATATTAACTCTGCAGGGTGCCAAAACTTTTGCAGACGCCATTTTTTTGTTTTCTGTTATTTTGAAAGTGTAAATGATGGAAATAAAATCTAACTTTTGTTGACATATTATAAGAATGTCTAATCTGTACTTTGATGCCTTTTGGAGATTTTTCCATCTTTCCTTGGCTTCTTTATGCACATTAATACAAATTTTTAGCTGGGGTGCCCAAACTTTCGATCCCCACTGTATAGCACAGTTGGGAAGGGGTTAAATCCCAAAAATCTTGCCTGCTGAGTTCTTTTCTGTCACCTGCATGGAGATCACTGGGTGAGCACTGCTGGGGGCATGCAGGAGGGCACTTTCTGGGAGGACGTCATATGACGCCCTCCCAGAACTGGGTAACTGTGCTGTAGCCATCATTCGACTATAGCGTGGTTACCAAGTGGTTAATGGTATTTATATTTGTGTCTTTATACATGCTTGCAATGGTTTTAATTCAACCAGGAATGTCAGAGGGGCTGAGGTTGTTTGTAGAGTCAAAGTTCAGAACAGAGGACCAAAATTACCAAGCAGCTCCTTTGGAAGGTAGCGGTACACTTGTTTTTCTTTTTTTTTCATCTAGGGATCCTGCCAGTAACACCCTTCTTGTTCTATAGTGACAACGCTTACTCACTGTACTGCAGTTATGGAGGAGAAGCCTTGTCACCATAGGACAGTAAATGTGTTAGGACTACAGAAAGATTCCCCATTCCTTTTCTCCATGTAATAGGATGAAAGTGTTCTGCAGGTCTGTAGAGCTGATAACCCTAATATGGATAACACTGCAGAGTGTACAAAAACTTTTGAGCTTGCCCAATTTCTGGCAGGATCAACAGGTAATTTTTTTGCATCAGTTGAACAGAGATGATAAAATGTTATACTTTCTGCATATTCAGAAGACCAAAAAAGCCAAAAAAGAATTGTATTGTCTTTTTTTTTTTACCTTACCTTTTAACAGCCACTTCTGAACATAATTGCCCCATAAGTATTAGGCATTCTAATTACTAAGGCCTCATGCACACTGCTGCTGCTAAACGTGAGTTTAGGAGCATTGGGTGTTTTTTTTTTATGTTTTTGTGCCAAAAACCCCTCTAACTCAACTCAATACACGCCTATGTGTCCATGTTTAAATATTGTAGGCTTTTACCAGAGTTTAGGAGCAGTTAAATGTTCTCCTGAATGCAGAAGAGTCGTGTTCAGGAGAGGAATGTTTCCGTCAAAAAAACGCTAAACATGGCAAAAATATGTGTAAACTCTAAATACTAGCAGTGTTTTGCAGTGTTTAGCACTTGGGTGTTTATTCATGTCAGTGGAAAATACTCTGGCCAATCAAATGAATAAACGTTCAAGCGCTAAACATAGCTAAATGTGGCTAAACACAGTACCGCTAAATAAAGAAAAAATCCTCTTACACTGCCAAACCTAATATGATAAACTAAGAGTGGCTGCAAACACCAAATTGTGTTCCCACAACACTAAAAAAATAAATGAATAGAAAAATAGTGCTGTGCTACTTACTAAACCTAACCATAAAGCAAAATGTAAACACCTGGCAGAGCCCCGAACTAAGCCAATATAAGTGCATACCTAAAGAATAACCAAACACAAGTGAATGAAAATATCCAAACAGACTAGATGCCCTGCTAGGCAATACCAAATGTGAACAAATCAATAAGTCAACATTCAACAGTCAACAAATCAATAACTTCAACATTTGTGCAAAAAGACAATCTGAGTGATGTATATCAAGATATAAAAAACAAAGCACACAAAATAAAAAGAAAATGTTGAATAATAAACACTCGGCTGAGCCCTCAACCCAGTGACAGTTTGTGAATAAATGTCCGTAAATGTAGTAAAAATCAAGATCTGTAATGCAGAAAAATCTGCAAATCAGCATATATTTCACACGTGACTTGAACAGTCCTCCGCCAGCTAGCGTGCACGCTCACCTCTCATTTTGACCTATAGGGAATATAGGTCAAATGCGCTTTAATATCAACCTGAAATCCAGCCAGCTCTCCTCTGGAAGCGTACTTTACTGACTCCTTCTCCAATTGCTCATCAGAAATACATTTTCAAAAAAACATCAAAGGACAACCAGGTATAGAATACTCAACTTTTAACCACAAACCTACAGAGCACTTATACCCCCTTCCTGCCCAGGCCAATTTCCAGCTTTTAGCGCTGTCACACTTTGAATGACAATTCTGCGGTCATGCAACACTGTACCCATATGACATTTTTATCATTTTTTTGTGACAGAGAGAGCTTTCTTTTGGTGGTATTTAATCACCTCTGGGTTTTTTTATTTTTTTCTTAAACAAACCAAAAACCACTGAAAATTTTGAAAATAAAATGTTTTTTCTTAGTTTGTGTTATAAAATTTTATAATTAAGTGATTTTTCTCCTTCTCTGATGTGCGCTAATGAGGCTGCTCTGATGGGCACTGATAGGCTGCACTGATGGACACTGATAGGTGGCACTGATGGGCACTGATGAGGAAGCACTGGTAGGTGGCACTGATGGGCATTAACAGGCATCACTGATGGGCACTGAAAGGCAGCACTATATGGCACTGATAGGCGGCACTGACTGGCACTAATAGGGGGCACTGACTGGCACTGTTAGGTGGGCACTGATAGGCAGCACTGACAGGCACTGATAGGCGGCACTGATGCACACTGATAGGCGGCACTGACTGGCACTGATAGGTGGCACTGATTGGCAGCACTGATGGGTGACACTGAAAGGCACTGATATGTGGCATTGATGTGGCACTGATGGGCACTGAAATCTGGCACTGATGCGGCACTGATGGGCACTGGCAGGTGGCATGGATGAGCACAGAGCTGGCACTGATGGACACTGACAGGTGGCGCTGCTGGGGCTACACAGTGGTCTGATGATCTGTGTAGATATCCCCTCCGAGGAATGCCGATTACCGGCTCTCCTCTCCTCACGAGCTGTCAGCATGACAGTTCGTGAGGAGAGATATGCCGATAACCGGCATTTCCCTATTTACATGTGATCAGCTGTGATTGGACACAGCTGATCACATGACCGAGCCGACATCTTCGGCTCTTTCCGTGGACCAGTGATCCGCTGTGTCCGAGGGGCTCCCGGAGCTGCACATGCGCGGTGAGAATGGGAGGACGTCATATGACGTCCTCCCAGAATGAGAGAACCGCCTTGCGTCCGTCATATTACTATATGGCGGGCGGGAGGCGGTTAAAATGAGACCAGCAGACCCATACAAGCATTGGTAATAGAATACAAAGGAACTGGTGTACCAAGATGGCAGCTGCCATCCGATCAGAAATTAGGTCACCACACTTCCTTTCTACGCGTTACATCACGAATCACATGACTTCCTCAGGGATAGGAAGGTGGTGACTGGGTGACTCATTTCTATTGGCTGACAATAAAGGATAATAACTCATCTAACTCCAGCATAAATTTAACTGAAGATCGGCACCAAGTAAATTGTGTTTAGTTTTTTTCTAGGTTTACACTTATATCACCTTAGTTAGGGGCTCTGTCAGGTGTATACTTTTTGCTTTACGTTTAGGTTTAGTGAGTAGCACAGCACTATTTTTCTATCTATTTAAACGTGATACCGTGTTTATTCGCAGTTTTGCTGCATTTAACATTTTTCTTCTGCCAGGAGCGCTTAACGTCTAGGGGAGTTCATGTGTACATGAAACCTAATGATTATTGCTTCTTTCAAAATGTTTTAAAGCTGAACTCCGAGATAAGCAAGTATCATCATAATTAGAGATGAACGAATCGAACATGGCCATCTTAGAATTCTCCATTAGCCTCCGGTCATTCAAGAGAGACAGACCTGTGTGTATTAAGGGACAGAGTTAGGGCCACAGAGACTTTAGGGCCACAGAATCGTTACTCAGGGACACAGAATCGTTACTCAGGGACACAGAATCGTTACTCAGGGACACAGAATCGTTACTTAGGGCCACAGCTATCAAAGAATCGAAAATTTAAAGTGACATACACCCTTTTTTTTTTTGGTGCCTGTCGTGCACAGTTGGTGCTGCTGCAGTTTGCCGATTGTGCAAAATAAACTGACTTTCTGCTTCACAACCACTATTGTACGTTCAAAGAGTTAAATCCATTTACACGCCGGCTGGCGGTAATATTTTTTGGGTGATTAGTGCATTCCAGTGACACAAAACGTACAGTTTCCAGCCAACGGCAAGCTGCAATTGACCGATTGTGTACAATAAAACTGACTTTCTGCTTCACAACCACTACTATTGTACGTTCAAAGAGCTAGATCCATTTACACGCCGGGTGGCGGTAATATTTTTTGGGTGATTAGTGCATTCCAGTGACATAAACGTACAGTTTCCAGCCAACGGCAAGCTGCAATTGACCAATTGTGCTAAATAAACTGACTTTCTGCTTCACAACGACTATTGTACGTTCAAAGAGTTAAATCCATTTACTCGCGGCTAGGACGGTAATATTTTTTGGGTGATTAGTGCTTTCTAGTGAAAGAACGTTACAGTTTCCAGGCCTAATCGGGCAAGCTTGCAATTGAACCGTTTGTTGTACAAGTAAACTGGACTATTTCTTGCTTCACGCTACCTACTTATTGTACTGTTCAATTGGGTTCAAAAACCCTATTGTACGTTTAAAAGAGTTAAATCCATTTTACACGCGGGGGGGCGGTTTAAAATTTTTTTTTGGGGGATTAGGCTTTCCCGTGGGAAAAAAAAAGTTCAGTTTTCCCCGCCCAACGGCCCAAACTTTCAATTGGGCCGATTTTTCTAAAAAAACTGATTTTGCTTCACAACCACTATTGTACGGTTTAAAGAGTTAGATCCATTTACCCCGCCGGGGGGGCGGTAATATTTTTTGGGTGATTAGTTTCATTCCCGGGGACATAAAAAGTAGTTTCCCGCCAAAGGCAAGCTTTCAATTTTACCGATTGTGAAAATAAACTGATTTCTTTTTCCAAACCCCATTGTCGTTCAAAGAGTTAAATTCCCTTTAAAACGGGCTGGCGGTAATATTTTTTGGGTGATTAGTGGATTCAGTGAAAAGAAACGTACGTTTCAGCCAAAGGCAAGCTGCCAAATTTAAAGATTGGCTAAAAAAAAGACTT